CCAACCCTACAGATTTGTAAACAAACTACTCTCCCAGTGTGAAAAGGTGTCCTACCTAGAAGAAAGCAGGGAGAACTCATGGAGGAATGGCATCCACTATAGCTCTGTTTGACCTTTAAGCAGTAAGAACTTGGCTCTTCAGGTCAGAAAAAAAAGGAATGAAGAAACTTAGTGAAGGAAATGAGTTTGATTTTTCTCGATTTTAAGCTATATTTATATCTTGACATTTCAGGATGAAAAAAGACATTGCTGTTTCTGACTTTTCCTTGGTGTCCATGAAAAAAGTGCCTGAGGCACCGCATTTGCAGTGAATCCTTCTCTATGGAAGTAACATACAGAGGTCAGTTTTGAGTCATACCTGTTTTGTTTCTTCTAGTAAAACATGCAAATAAAGTGGCAATTTCTGCTTTTACTACCAATGAATAATCTAACCTGGTCACAGAAATAAATGCCATAGTTTAAAGAAAACATAGTTAAAATATTTACAGCTATATTCCAACTATTTAGACTTGGAATTTGGATGCCTTCAGCATTCCACAGATGTATTATACTCAGGTCTACAACTGAAGCGATGGTTTTTATTACTCTGTAAAACTGAGCTCCAACAAGAATATTCTAACCCAAGTTAGAATAAAACACCCCCAGCAAAGTACAGTACTACAGTGCAACTCAGAGAAAAAAAAGTTTCACAGTTTTTGATGACACAACGGACTAACACATCTTTTCTATTTCTTTTTTTCTTACAATTTTATACAAAGATAAGACTGCTACAGGAAATTATTGGATTACACTAATAAAATCTGTCTCTCATATCCTTTCTGATTGGCAGCAACCATTTTTAGAACTGAGTGTGTGTCAATCTGCTGTCCTTCAAGGATTGTCTAGTTTTGCTTTGTATTTAAAATAACTTAAAATGAAATCAGAATAAATTCTATTTCTATTATAAATTTTCTTCATGTTTGAATACTGCCAACAGTGCAATTTGAATTAATCTATCCTAATTTAAAGCCTGGTTGTGATGACTTTCCACATTTTCTTACTCCAGAAGCAGCTACAGTCAAACCAACTGGAATATATTTGAAGTTAGATCCCATTTAGTTTACATAAAGCATAATTTGACCCTTAAATATTTATTAATTTCATCAGATAACACAATCACAATATATTTTTAAGGCTACCTAACCATGATGCTGTGTGGATTTTTTGTGCTGATTTTTTTGGAGGTTGGTTTTTGGTTGGGTTTTTTTTTTTAGTTTGCTTAATTAAGAAGTTGATATCACTACTTCAGAAACATGTGGTATTGCTCTGTTTGAAATATTTTTTCTCAGAGATGGTTTTTATAGCTACATCAACACATTTTTCTCTCTTTCTCAAAATGACTTAGCATGTTATATATATATAAAAAATTACCCTTCTTAACAGAACCTGCTAGTAATGATCTTCGTATTTTCCAAAATGCACAAAAGTCATGCCACTGCACTAGTAGAGCACAAATGTTACTTTTAAATGAAGTCCTGCTAAAAATAAACCAGACACTGATTGACAAAAGCTTATAATAACAGTGTAGCACAATGAGACATTTTTGATTGCAATATATGCAGGGACAGCAGTTGAACTGCACATACCCTATGGCTAGAAGCAAATATCACAAGCTGCTCATGACAGATTTTTAATTAACATATTTTGCCTCCTCCAAATAGAGAGGATGGTGTAAATCAAAGCACCTTCTCCGACTTAAAGGGAATACTGTCAATATGCTTCAGCTGAGGATCTGTCCCCCAGACCTGCATGTTGCACTCCGGGTTTAATAAAAGCGTTGTATGCCTTAGCAAGCAGATCTAATCACACAGCCTGTCTAATTTGGCTCCACAGAGGCCTGCTTTCCTTAATACACAATGGGTATACATGAATGGTTCCATTTATATACTAATGAACAATAATAATGTGGGGCTATACATGCCGAAGATGAACAAACCTACCAATGTAAAACAGGGCCTAGCATCCCAAAATATATTTATTTCACTGGAACAAAGTCAATACCCAGTGGCTAAGAACTAAGGCTTTATATCTGGACAAAGAAGCACACATAAACCAGCACAGGCTCACATTTGGACAACAGTTTGCCCACTTTCTTATGCATGTCCCTGTCCCTTTCACACAGTACATTCCCCAGGAAGAACATTTACCAGCTCTGTAAAACCAGCATCTCACAAGCTAAATCCTCAAAGTCCCTGCATGAAGCAATTCACCTATAATGACACCCTGCAGACCTACCTGCAGTGTTCATCACATGCCTTGCCTCTTCTGCACCCTGCAGTATGGTCAAGGATCATTTACATGCAGGAGGAGGGAACTCCTTCTCCATCATCAGATCTTCTTGGACCCCCACTCTGTACATCTGACCCAGAAACTCTGACTCAGAGAAGGTTGTAGCCAGCTTACCAGGGTAAGCAGAGTTGTTCTTTTGAAGCCCTTGTATCAGGCAGACCAGAAGGTAATGGAAGCAAAGAAACAGGCCTTCTGGAAGTGATCAAACTTCCAGAGTTTCAGAGAATTTGGAGTCTTTAATACATGGTTTCTGTTTCAGGGAAAGTTTGAGAGTGATTGCAACGAGGGCATTTTGTATTAAGTCTTGCAGGTCCATCATGCTGTCAAGTCATTCTCTGTAACCTCCACTTCAGCAGAGTAAGAAGGGTGGTGCATACTGTAAAGGCACTGCAGACTGTACACATACGACAAGGTCTAGACTACAGTTTTGCCAGAATAAAGCGTAATGGGTGCTTACTAATGCTGCAATGTCAGTAAAAGAAAAGAGGGGATTCATTTAATGCAGCATCTAGGGTTGTACTATGCTTAGAGCAGCTTCATCCATACCTTAGGACTCTGCCAACACAGGTATGCTCTCGTTTTTGTAGCATTTCAGCTGCTGTCATCTGCTAGTGTAGGTGAAAGTAATCCTATGAGAATTAGCCCTGTGACACTACTGATCCATGCTAGGGGTTTTTTTGTTTGGTTGGTTGGTTTTAAGCCATGGACATTTGCATACAACTACTGTGTTATCAGTGTTGACCACTGGTCCCATAAGGATCCACAAATACAACCTTCAGGAAGAAAACAACTGAGAAGAAGAAACTGAGCAAAGGATTCCAAATGCAATCTGTTAATCTCCCATACCCCAGGCAAATTAACTACCATCTTTGCCTTTGTTTTTCCTGTCTACTACAGGGGGTTAAAAATAGAAGGCTAAAATACTTGGCTCCTTATTAAGCAGTAGAATTCAGTTTAACATGTCCTGCAGGACTGTAACATTAGCATGTCTAATGAGATGGGCACAACTCAAAACTCTAATGATGCAGTATAAAATGGATCTGGAGACAGGTACATAAACATCCATGGCTAATGAGGCTATATTTATGCTAGCATTTTTGTTCAGAGCAGGAGCAAAGTTTTCTTCCACACTCATCCTATTTAACTTTATGTTGTGGAGCAATCTGTGAATACATGAACTGGACTCAACTGAAGATGTGCTCCAGATGTGCACCTAAAGTGCTCTTCCCGATAGAGAGCAGTCCATGGAACCAAACAGAATATAGTCCAAATGAAACCCCCGATATCTGGCTAGGGAATTGGACTAAGAGACTGGCAAACACCACACATTCCACACACACACACCCCCAGCTCCCCAGTTTTCAGCTACACTAATAACATTAAGCTAGTAACTTCTGGCTCCATCCTTATTTCCCAAATTTCATATATTTACTCTACTCTCTCTTTCTCACACATTTAGCACCAGCTGGTGCCTACCTTCTCCAGCTTTGTGTACACCATCACTGATCTGACATGCATTAAAAAAATTCATCTCCTGATCTCAATGTTACATGTTCGAAACCAAGGGAACGCAGTGAAGGAGTAAGAGAAAGGAGACTTCTAGGAAGCCAGAGCTCAGCTCTAACACTGGCACCATAAGCACTTCTCATCACTGCAGGATGACGGGATGAACACAACAGTGTCAGGTCAGTACAGGTCATCAGTTGTGGTCTTCTTCATCTACAAAGCCAGCCTGAACAGAGAGAGGCTTGAACTAAATTAAATGCAGTCCTTGCCCCAGTAACCAGCATCTGAGATAGCAACAACATCCTGAACACATCTGCACAGCAGAATTTGGCATTTACAACATGTGATTCCAGATTTGCACAGAAAGTAGCTAGAGCAACTGGAGGGAAGTCCTCAAGATCTAAGAGATCTGGCTGCATCTTCCAGAGGTTACTATAAAGAGGAACCAAAATCCTTAAGAACAATTATTCCTGCCAGAATAATTAACACCAAGACATGCAGCTCTCTTTTTTTCCCTGAATATTTACACAGAAAAGCTAGCAATCCTACCAATTGATTCTTCAGAACATAATTACCACACTTGCCAGGAACTTGCCTGAATTCCAGTTGTCAGTATTTGTCCCTAAGAAAGTGGCTTAGACAGACAAGGCTTTTTGAACTAATTTAAAGGCATGAAGGCTTGTAAATGGCCTCTTAAAAGACCTCCTATGACTTCCTCTTTTTTTTTTTTTTAATTTTAAGAGATTTCACAAATAGCTAAAAGAAACAGAAGAGGGAAAAGATAATTCAATTCCTGTAACTACTGCTTCTGCCTTTCCTCTTTTCATAGTGTTACACTCTTACAAACTTCCATTCCAGCTTTTTCTGATTTAGGGCTTAAACTTGCAACAAGCTCCCCTTGGAGTCCTGTGGAAGACTGTGTGGTTGTATACACATGAAACAGATTGTGCAACAGGACCTTGTAGTGAGACAGTGACTCGTTTTGTGTGTGTACCATGCCCAGTGCAACCGGGTCCTAACACTGCTCCTCTGCTTGACACGGGAGCAATACAAAGAATAGACTAAGTGTAACTCAACACGGCAAGGGTGAAGCGATGCTGTTGTATGGGCAGTGGCGGCAACCACAGAGGTAACACCAACAAGGGGGAGGAGAGAACCGGGATTACCTGCTGTGCCTGCTGCAGCAGCTCCATTCGCTCGTGCAAGATCTGGCTGTCAAACTCACGGCTCTGCCTCAGGATCTGCCGCCGCACCTTCTCCACTGCAGCTCGCAAATCCTCCCTCTGGGCCTCGGTCAGCGACTCACTTGCCCACCTTCCTGGATCCTGCTGCAGGGCATTATACAGCGTGGCTTCCAGCTCCTGGATTTTCTAATGCAACCCAAATCACATACAGACAGGCTGCCATTTGAATCCAGCAAGCAAATGACCCACCAACAGCTACAGGAGAAGGCTAGCAAGCGGAGCCTTAGGCAGGAGGGAAGGACGGACACAGACAGGTAGACAGAAAGCAGCAGTCGTGAGCAGTGAGGAGCATTCCACACAGAGTGCACATAGCCTCCCGGCACTGATTTACACCCAGGTAATGCTTCCCATTCTAGTAAATGATTGATTTCTTCTATTTAATAAAGATTCAGATGATAGGTGTGTACTTAATACGTTACAAAAGCCCAACCTCTGATGCTGAACATTACAAAATTAAGACAAACTAACAGATTCCCTTCAACTGCAACTCAATTCTTAAGCCATCCTATAAAATAAAAAGCCCACAGGGAGAACTGTGAACAACAGAAATCTTACTGTCTCCCTCCCTCTGGCCCTACTGTCCTGCCATCCATTGTTCAAAGTCTACGTCACTGGCTTAGTTCCAAGTTGCCATAAGCAACGAAGAGAGGAACGCTTGTATACCTGCATACACTAGTCCCTCATCAGTCTCTCACCAGTTGCCAGATTCCTAACCAGATTCTCATGCACTGATGACCGAAATTGCAGTACTTCCAAAGCAGAAAGCACAGGAGAACTTTACATTCATACCGTATTCCCAAGAGTAAAGAAAGGAAAGAATCATGGCAGTGTTTCCCTGATTATTGGGGTTAGTATGATCCAATTAAAAACCAGCATCCGGACTGACAGTACTTGGATCAAGAGCATCTGACAACATCCCTTTAGCCCTCATAACACCTTTGTGAGGTAGGTAATTCTATCCATATTAGTGATGCATAAACAGCTGCACAGAGAGGTTAAATGGCTTGCCCAAGGTCACAGTGCTGGAAATAGAGCCTTCTTGCTTTTATCTCTGTTACCTGCTCTGAGCACTAGACCTTGCTTCTTTTCTGAAAACATTTTCCCCATAAGAAATATTTACAATGTAGAAATAATTCTTCAGGCCATCATATTTTGATTCCCTGAAGTCTCACTATTAACAAAGTTGGATGTGCAGTTTTACCAATTCCTAGATAATTCCTAATTGTTGCTGCAAGGCTGCAGCTTCCCTTTTGAAAACTAGGAAAGGTAAGGTTGGATAGGACAGCACAGGAAGGAATCGCATAGGAAGAACAGGTATTCCCAACTTGGGATAGGTTAGCAGCAGTAATATTTACAAATGCTTAGGAAAAAGCAAAATTGGAAAAGTTCTAAAATAATGTATGGTGTATTATGGTGTATTTTACCAGTGATAATTTTGTGCACACATAGACCAGCTCTTCCCATTCCAGATGTACTAACAGGATGTTCACATATTTTAGGATAAAAAATGCAATGCAAAAACATTACACTTCTAAATACTATAATCCATTTCCTAAGTCTCCATTTAAGTAGTATTTGATTTCCTAGTCTGACAGAAAAATAAATAAATTTTAAAAGAACCCTATTTATAATTAAAAGAAAAAAAAAAACCCTGAATTTATCAAATTTGTTCAAACATGAAAATTTAATGACTGATCTTTTCCTACCATGTATGCCTGGTCCAGAGCTTGCTTCCTGTAGTCGAGTTCTTCCTCTAAATAACCCTTCTGTTTACTGAACAGGTCCTGAGCAATAATAAAAACAAGGGAGTGTTTGTTCTTTATCCTAATCATGAAGAATCATAAATGCCATCATTTTTATGTGAGCTTTCCACTTGAAAGCAAAGAAAATCTATAGCAAATGACCACATTCATCCGAAGGATATTTGGAATACCAAATTTACAATATTAGCACTTAAAATGCATGTATCATATTAACGAGTTGTACCTATAAAGTATAGACCTCTACACCAGTGTACAAACCTGCATTGACCTGACAGAAGTGCACACAAAGGCTGAAAGGTGAATGGGAACACGCATGCATGTGGTCCAACAGTTGTTACTTGCACAGGGCAGGCCAAGGGGAGAAAGAAAGAAATAGAAGTGAGGGCACTTTACTGCTTCTCTGAAAATACCCAGTGGGCACCCTTAAGGAAATCATGGGGAAACCGTAACCTGTGTTGCCTAGCGTGTTCTTCTAGGTAGGAAGCTAGAACACGCAGGGCCCTGCCTGGGTTCTGCAGCAACATTCACTGATGCGTTAGTGAAGCAGAAGTAGAAGCTCAGTTCTCAACTTGTAAAGGTAGAAGGCCAATTTGAAATAGGTAAAGTGATGCCCAGAGAGGTTAAGTGACCTTAGCTGAACAGCTGAAGAAGTTTTCAACATACCTAGGATTTACGGGGATTTTTTGCTTTTGTTTCTTAAGTCAAACTCACCAACTTCCACAGAAGCAAAACCTTCCAGTTGTAACACAGGCGGGGATTTCAGTGGAACTCAGTATCCAAAAGCACAATGTTGCAGGAAAATTGTGGACATTTGAATGGTTGTCTGAACAGTCAAGTGAGAACCGACTGGTGACAGTGCTCTTGCAAAACATGCCTTTAGAGTGTTTTGGATGTTAGTAAGTAGAAGATAAAATAGTTACTTGATTTTATTAGCTTTCTTTCAAGGCAAGTTGTCATGCTCAAAAAAAGTAAGTAGTAGTCCAGAAAGCAGAGAGGCCCTTTGATTGAATTTAATATTTTCCATCATTCCTTTTCCTATTCAACAAACTCTTGCATTTCTTGAACATAAAATCAAATGTTGCTGGTCTGGTTAGTTTTATTGGATATGGGATTGCCCCAAAGTCATTTATTTGGCCAAATTTTACCTTCAGACATGTGTGAGGATTTCCGACAGTTTTTCTGTCAGCTCTCAGTGTAGCACTGGCATAGAATTTGCCTAAGCATGAACCATGATGATGAATTCTCACTCCAAACATCTGGTTTAAAACAAATCCATTCTGATCAGCAAATTAATGCTCGGGAGGGGCTCAGAGCTTAAAATGACTACAGATTACCTCACACTTGTTAAGAACAACTCATAATTGGCCACAGCAGCAACATGCAAGACCAATGTCAGAAGACTCAGAGGAACAAGTTGCTATTTATTTTCTGTATAAGAACTGTAATTTTTTTTTTTTTTTTGTAAACCTGGAGTTCTTTTAATTACCTATGAATTAATATTGAAAGTAGAACCAAAGTTTAAATCAGGATTTGATCTTGGGGCCGGAATTCAGTTACCCACAGATGGTCATCTATTGCTATTATAGACATTTTTGTGTATGCTACTTCAGCTGCTGGTCCAGAAGGGCAGGGGACTCCAACAGGTCCTGTTGGACATATTTCTCAGCCCCTTGTAGACATCTCCAGAACTCTGAAGAATGTAATATGGCATTAGACATGATGTTTATGCAACTGAATCCCACCTTGACTGCGCAGGTGGCATTATTTTCTTATGTGGATTACAGCAACAGCTACATGGCTGTTGCACAAGATGCAATACCACCGTGCACTGCGTAATGCATAGTAAAGGACAGGCCTGGTCCCAACGTGCTTACAAGTGGCTGACACCAGCAAAGTAGACTGACTTGCCCAAGACAAGAGAGGGTCAGAGCTACCAGCAGATCCCAGAATAGCAATGCAGCTGCCCTGACCATGTTACTCCTCCAAAAGCAGTTGTAAAAGCTGGCCAGAAAAAGCAAGAGGGAAGGAAACAAGAATAGGATCTCAAACACTCCACACGGTTCCTAGGACAAATAAACCAGTGCTCAGCCCTTCTGAAAGTGTCACTCCAGAATATTATTTCTAAACTCATTTCACAATTGAGTCAATCATTGGCAATGCAGACTCTGAGATTGCTATGCTAAACAAATAGATAGAGAGCTATCCAGAGTAAGACTTGAAAACATCACAGATAATAAGTAGGAAGATAATAAACCAAGTTAGACAGAAACTATTGTCTTCCAATTCCTTTTATAAAAGAATCTAGTATTTGTGGGCACTTCCCCTCTCCAGAACCTTTGCATTTTTCCATAACAAGAGTTAAAAATAAATAAATACTAAATGTGGAAAGGATCATACCTATGTTAAAGTACAGCCAGTATGATAGGCTACACTCAACAGAGAACACAGTCTGAGCACTTCTTTTTTTGATTGTGGCCCAAATACACACTTCTTCAGTGGCCCTGGGAAAATCGCTTAACCTCCCTGTCTCAGTTTCCCATTCTTTAAGATGAATGTAATGCTGGTTAGTTATCTACCTGTAAAAGGATTAATCAGTGTTTGTAAAGCCATTTGAAGATGAGAAGCACAGCATGCATGGTAAACCAATAAAACCAAACAGTCATTCCAAAACTCTTTGTTCAACATACTGAAAAATAAGGTCAGTATAGTACTGAGTTTATTACGCAAGGTAGAACAGCTTTTGAGAAAAAAATCTGTCTTCAAGCATGAAGACCTTGGGGCAAGAAAGGTCATCTGGAGTAAGAGGTCCTTACCACTTGTCCAGAAGCTGAATACCAGAGAGCAAAGGAATATCCTTGACAGTTCTACTAACATGACCCCAAGATTAAAAAGATGATGCTATTGCCAGACAAATTAATACACAGAGAAAGCACAAAGACAATTTCACACTGTTTGCTCTGTAAAGTTATGCCTTCATGTCCTAATTTGTATATATTTTGCTATTTTTTTCTATATAGCTTTGACAGTTTCCTCCCACCCCAAAGAATACAAGCAATAAATTGTTCTAGAAAACTCTTGCCAATTTTACCATGCAGCAATCTTGTTAAGCAGAGAAAGGTAGCAAATCAACCTGCAATGAAATTATTACACATTCCCTTAAGATGAGTTTTATCTAAACAAATTATATTTTTAGTTATTATTCCTTACCTTTTCATTCTCCAGGTCTAACATCTTCTGTGTCAGTGCAGCTTCTGTCCCCTCTATCTGTTTTAACCACTACATGAACATAGCAGTGTGAAGAGGAAAAAATAAAAAAATGAAAAAACCAGAGCTTTTGAAAAATTTGCACTGAACATTTTGCAAGTTTGTTGCCAGTGCTCCCAGGCATATGCTTCCCCCTTACTATCGGTTCACTTTGAAGTTACATGTGAATAAACAGGTTGTGAAAACATAGGCAGAATGGAGGACTGTAGAAACATACTAAAGACTAACAAGTGGAGGCTGTTTTCCTACAATAAATTAAAGTTTTTTTCCCCCTGTAAAGTGCAAGACACAAAATAGGCTTGGGTGAAGAATGCAAAATTAACCTGATTGTTTGCAACTTGATACACCCAATGCTTGTTGGCCTGATTTGCAAAACCATCATATGATTTCAGGGCACCAGTTCTGCATTTTTCCAGATGGCAATTTAAACAAAAGACAAGATGGCAAACTCGATCCTTTATTTTGCACAGTTTGCTGCACCCTTCGTGGGGAGAGGATCACTTCTAAAACATCGGTAATGTAGAGGGAACAATACAACGGACAGACAGATGGAAGCTCATGCAGTTGCTACCATGAATCCCTTACCATTCTGGTGATAAAAAAACCAATCAGACTTAAGAAGAATGACCATTGCATTCCAAAGGTATAATTACATATTGTAATAGCTAAATGCATGGATAGAATGTTCTTGCTTACTTACTAAAGGTCATCAGGATTATATTAATATTCAGCATTTAAATTTATTGGAATGGATGGGAATGCTCAGTTCTGAATTATTTTATTTCATTTCCTTATTGGTCTACAATAAGGATCAATGACTAGCTTACAGAGACTAGCTTAATGACTAGCTTAATGACTTATAGTTTAGACTAATGCTTCTTTTTGGAGCGCCAGCTCCCATTAAGACCAACTGTAGCTTTGCCACTGATAATTATCACTTTCCTCAAATGCTTTGCTTACTAACACTAGATTACTCCTATTTACTTTAAATCTTTTGGTAAGCATTACACATCAACTTCTTTAATTTAGGGTTTTGGTGAATTCATTGGGGCTCAGACTCAAAGGATTTAATGACATATCCATTTTTTTCCAAAGATTTAGATAGGAAATCTGCAAACATAAGTTTACAAATAAGCAAAATGTGAATTCATTACTTCATCCTTTTGGGCCTTCCACTATTTAAGAGACTGGTGGATAAAAATGGAAACTTGTTTTATCTACTTAGTAGGTTTAGCTTTGTACAGAGCTGAAAAAAGTGAACAAGAACACCGTATGCCCCAGTGATGCTATTTTCATCATCTTTCTTTTCTTCATTTTGAAGGTGACAGACTGAAGATATTCCTAAGGAAAGTCTCACCGCTAATAAAGGATTCGGCAAGACAGTGAGCATTCTGAACCCTTGAAATCAATACAGTGGGAAGCCCTCAGCATCTTTCACAGCTACCCTCAATATTTGCAAATGAAGGGTTATTTGCAAAAATTAGAGGTCTAATTTTTTTGAAGGTACGAATGATATGCAAAACTAAATGTTGATTCTGATCTTCCTATGCCTGTAAGCCTTTCTGGAATCAAGAGGCACAGAAGAGACAACCATGTATTTCGGAGTCATAATCAGTTGTAGCATTCAAAATAAGCTTCTGGAATTGTGCTTGCTAGCAGAACCCAGAAGCTTTCCTTGCCTGGCAGCTTGATTTCAAAAAAAATCACTTATAGTCTGAGTGTAATAGATTTGATCTAAATAAACACTAAGTGTGATTAGTTAGCACATCTGAATATAACTAGCACAACACCTATGTCTGTAGTACCATTTCTCTACCAAAAGATCCCATTACGAGATGATTATATATGATAGTTTCTTGTATTTAAGGAACTATAGGGATGCACATGGGAAGCTGTCTGGTCCTTATTTAGAGGGACATCTGAGATGGTTACATTACACTGGAGAAGGCAGTGGAGTTGCTTTACATTTCCTTCAACCTAAATTCAGTATATGAACCCAATAGAACTTACGTTAAAACAATCATCCAGTCTTATCAGATTTTGCCTGATTTTGTCTGTGCTGTAAAACACTATTATGAAACATGGCATCGTGTTTGTCTTGTTAAGGACAGCATAAGGTTATTTCTGTTTGTCTTAGTAAAATTTGGACAAGGATAGCGCCTTCTGTTATTGAGAAAATCAGAGTCACTTGATTAGCCTGTACCTCAAATGTGCACCATGAAAAAGAGGAAGAGGTTTCATGCTTCTCAGAGTACCTTCTTGATTCAATTTGCTATCAGCTTGTACTTAGATTACTGTGAGGCACTTCACTAAAATGACATAAAATGGATAGAGTCCACAGATAACATGAACTATTTTCATTTCATTCTCTAAATGCTGTCTATTTACCTATACAAGATAAAACTAAAATCTCCATCTTTCTAATGGAGTGTTCAATTTCTGTAATAATCAGATTATCTGAAAAGACCATAAAAAAAATCCGTTAAGGCAAACTAGGAACTTTTGTCAAAAAAAGAGAAAAAAAAGTGAAATGAAATTATAGACCAACATTAGCATAAATAAACAAATAAAGTCTCCTTTGTGATCATATGTTCTATTCATTTAAGGAATCATTTCAGTTAACAAAGCTTCCAATCCCTTATTGCTGTGATCAGTTGCTAATAGAAATAATTTATTGATAACAAAGTGTATGTTCTATTCTGCACCACTCTGACACAAATTAAACAAGCTCCCTAATTCCAGTTGCACTTTCTGTACAAGCACTAATTTACTTGAGAAATAGTAACCCAATCCAGTCCCTAAAATCTGGCCAGTTTTGCTCACTCTCTCTTAGTCTTGTGTACCGGGGTTCTTCCACTTTCCTTATTGGATGTACAGGGCTATGCTAATCACCTCTTCTTCTCAATGCCATAATGCAATGAAAAGCAAAGGAATTTTAGCACTTTTCCTCATTTTTATTTTGCTTATAGCAATTATTTGCTTAAATCAATGATTATTAAATTACCTAATTTAGATTATCTACATTAAAGTATTTAGATAAGTAGATTATCAAAATTATACCACCTAAAGCAATTACAAAATGCTTGAATTTAAATTTTAAAGTTCTGATCCTGAATTTAAAAAATGCATCTAGGAAAGGTTTAATAGAAACCTACAACAAGGACAAAGCTTCTTCAGAGAAAAAGGTGAGTCCTTCTTAGTTCTAAATGTCGTCTTTATTCATATACAGATTATATTCTCTCTGTAATTGGAGATGTAAAGAACTAGTCATGCAGAACTGAGTGACCTGACTGATTACCTATCTTGTACAAACTACTTTTTTGCTATCTATGCCCACTAATTTACAGAGGAAAGCACCACAGACCACTTAGAGCTTTTTCAGTCATACACAGAAGTAAGCCCATGATGGACCATGGTGGTACGACTTACAGAGGACTTCACAGCACCCTGTTCCCAGAGAGCTAAGGACATTGGCACTTGTGAGAATGAAGTCTCTTTTGTTAAGTGGTTTTTTAGTATTTTATTCTAAGGGAATATCTCCAAAACATGTTTTTATCCTTAAATTGGGTTTATTTTGTAAGTTTGTGATGTCTTGAGGTAAAATCAATGCTAACAGTCATGTAAGGATGAATACATGCTCCAATCCAGATGACCTGAACAGAAAAGCTATGCTTCCTTGGCAAAGTTATGTGATATCTTAGAAGACATGGTCAGTCTTTAGGCAGAGAAAAATCTTTACTGAATTCTACCTTTTCACAGAGGGAAAGCACAGTCCCAGCTTGGATTATTGCAACCTGTTCTTCATTTCTCAAATTCTAAAATACAAAAAGATGCATTTTAAATTGGATTGGAAATCCATCCTTTAACGCAAGCGATAAATTTTAACTGTACTTTAAAGACTAAATCAGCTGTAACATTTAGGATTTTACAAACATGACCAGAAAGGATCCCATGATTTAAAGTATTAAAAGCTAAACCAAGGGTTCTTAGTCTCCACTCTATTTCAGTACACCACTCCCACAACACTTAATTATTCAATTAAAATTAAATGGTTTATGTTAGGGATTTTGAAATGTCTTTTTTTTTTCCCCCCACGCCAGAAAAATGCCAGTTCACTGCACTATAGCCCTGCAGCAAGTGAATCTCCCCTCATGCACTTCAGAGCTAGACTTCCCCTTAACAAAAACAATGCAAAGAAAGAACAAGTACCATAGAAACCTCCACAGAACTTTCAACATAAAAAGTAAATTTAGAGCTTAAAACTAGTATTATAAAAACTGCAAACTATTAAAGCTACCTATAAACTGGACCCAGCTCCATGGACGTTTGTGCCCCAACTGCATGACCAAGATTTTATACTATATTTGGCAATACAGGGGCCCAGTTATCCTTGCCCATTATCCCAGAAATCTACTCCTGGCAGAGGCATCCTTCACAGTAGCAGGTCCTACTATTACTACTCAAGAGGAAAAATTCAGGAATAACTTGGTCTGGCTTTGATTTCCTTATTTTTCTCCCCTAGCCTGTTTTATATCTCTTCCCTCTGCCTACTACAGTGCCTTTTTTCCATATCACTCAGCCAAGATCAAATCCTATATTGAGAAAATACACTTTTCACTAGCATCAGTATAACTGAAAGATTTTCTTTTAGGTTTGTAGAAGTAGTACATAACCATTCATATTGTTCATGCAAACATAGGCATATAAAAATCACCCTGTGCATTTTCTTGAATGTTATTTTCTCCTGTGGGAAAAAAAACCCTGCTTTAAAATAACCATTAAAGTAGAGGTATATTTGAAATTAAAAATTTGTTACCCCATTATCTCCAAGAATATCTAGCTTCTTCATAAGTTCAGGTATATTCACGTCCTGAAAAAGATGTTCAACACTTATTTTTTATAAAGTAGGTGAGAAACAGTTTTTATATGCTACATTTTATGTACCCTTCATTCACTTCTGCATGCAAAAAGACTTGAAATGTAAGTGAAAAATTAGTTTTGCACCACAATTACTAAAGTGTTATTGATACTTTCAAAGGCAAAACCAAATATCACTCTTGATTATAGCAAGCAATCTGGATGTCTGTGTATGAGGGCAGAATGTTCCTGTACCATTCACATTTATCATCCTGCTGATGTATGCAGATGAAAGAGCAAAACTGATAATCAGGCTTAAAGGACTGGTTTTTTACATTTGTTTGGAGTGGAGCATCAAGCACATCAAGCTACAGAAGTTACAAAGACAAAGAGCATGAACAAAATAATTGCTAAGAAGGTTTGGTGGGTGGTTTGGGTTTTATTTTCTTTGTTAAACAAAAGAGTGGAGTTTCAAATCAGCCTTACAGTGGCACAAGGGAATATGCACGGCGGGCTTGAACACATTCCTCCAAACACTATCAGCTCACAAACTTTGTGAGCAGTAAGCCACGTTTCTCCCAGTCAGCCCCCAGATCCACAAAAAGCAGCAAACAAACCATCCTTATTAAGGATGAATAAAAATAAATAAATAAATAAATGAAATAAAAAACCCCACTCTGATACAAAAAATAGAGGAATAAATTCATATGATGTCTGTATTTCACACAGTGCCAGGGACCATTCCTAGGCCCCAGAACTCTATTTTCTACTTTAAAAAGTTGTCGGAAAGGTTCATGGAACTGCTCAACCTGCGATAATCACATTCTCCTGAACTATCCTAAGTATGGTCCACAAGTTAACATGGACCAGGGATCATTCCCATTTTCAGCTTGTATGCAGCCATGCTATTTGATGGTAGGAAGGCTTGAGAGCATGGGCAAAGACTAGTTCATGTTAGTCCAAAATGCTTAATACACGCGCATAAAGCATGACAGCCTTGTTAAATGCTGGCACCGTCAACTTGTACTCATATTCAGCACTTCTAAGAGGCCAACATTTCACATGGCTGTGTCTTGGCTCACTAGTTTCATTACTTACAGTACCTAACATGCTGGTTTGCATCTATGTGTTGTGCATTATGTCAGTAGTCAGGATGATCAATCTTTACAATTTTTTAAAGCTAAATTAGTTATGCTTGCAAATTACAGAGCTACACCAGAATGTATTTGCTCATGATTCTATACCCAACAGACCCTAGTGAGGAAGGCTTAATAAGGAATGAAAGATTTCCTGAAGACTAGACACAGATGTCGGAAAGAATCTACAAATTAGCCCATCCTGGCTCTAAAAAAAGAATAATGTGTTGTGTTCAAGCGGGTCTGTCCTGAGAAGTCCCCTCCCTCTCTTCCCTCTCTCCCCAAACACTTCAGCAGTGTCGCCAAATGTTACATTAGCTATTAAACAGTGCACATCAGTAATTTTAGAATGGTGCAGAGCTTAATACACACTTGTGTTTGGATCAGTGTTAAAAACAAAATTATTGATTACAATCAGCATTGACAATGTTGAATGGAAACTTCTTTAGCTGATCAGTTCCACTAGTGAAGAATGGAATTCAGTAAGACATGCAAGTTTTTGCACCTATTGAGCCAGAAATGCTTATGCTAATTAATTTCTTTCCATGATGAAGCATATAGGAAGATTTAGAAACTAAATCAGATTTTGCATCATTCTAGAATCTAATTTGCTACTGATGGCTAACAATTTCGAAAGACATTAAAAACATATAAAAAGTAAAAAATTTCAGTATGTCCATATTAGGTGACTGCCCCTGCTTCCAGATAACTGAACTGAAAGGCAGATTTCAAAAAAACACCTCTGTTTAGGAATGCAACAGAAGACAATGGGAAATATATGAATTCTAGAGCCTGGTAAGCTGTACCTGCTACAGCCAACATGTAAATTAGAATAACAGATAAGCTAAAAAGCATGTCTGGCATAACATGGAGGCTCTGTTTGTAAAGTAATATGCTAACTGATGACTCTTGGTGTGATTTGGGAAACGACTACCCAACCAAACCTGTAGGTAAGAATCAGGTTTTATCTTTTTTTTTCTTTTAGACTACTCAGCTCCCTAACAATATGCAGCCTACAATTTCAGTTTATTTCCACTACGGACAGTATTGTGCTTATTAAGGCACTGAATAGAAACAAGCCTCCTATAAGAGGTCTTGTAAACACAATTGCAAATACAAGCATAAATGACTAGAAAGTGTCATGGATGATGACACACAGAGATATTGCACTTCAGTTACTCATAGAAAAGTTATCCTGGCCTGTTGTGCAGCATTACAAACACAGCAATCTGAATTCAGTCTTAAGTGAACCAGCATGCAAATCAATTTGACCAGCTAGCCTATCCAAGGGAGAACAGAAGTGAAAAGACCAATTCTTGCTTCCTCACAGCAGAAGCTAACCAAGTGAGATCCCAATGTTTATCTTGTGCTTGATCTAAAATGATAGAAGAGTCTCACCTATTTGAATGAGTTTTGGATCAGGCACCCCATGCTTCAAGACCCTTGCCTAGGCAAATAACTTAAGCATATTAATTCAAAAAACAAAATGCATAGGTGCTTCACTAAATTGGGTGTAAAATAATAGGTGAATGCAGTATTTCTGACCTTAGATGAAAACATTTAATATCAAGAACAACGTACTGCAGCAAGTCTGACAATGAATCACATCAACATCCACATTCTTCTCTGTGATGTTTTTACCGCAGTACCCTAGACTAAATGTAAATTATCTTGATTGACTGGCCTTCATTTTAATTGATGAACTCCTGACAGACTACCTGATCACACTCTTATGAAGCTCCTTCCCCAGTTAAATATATGTTTTCTTACTATATTTATTTTTTCAGATTTTCTTCCCTACAGCAAGATGGCAAAGCATTTGTTTGGATATTGGGTTGCTCATTCCAAAAAAGTTCCTCGCCATCTGTTACTAATGCTCTACATATACCTTTATTCCTTCCTGTTGACAGAACAGTTGAAGTGCACTTCCATTGTTCTCAGGGAAGGCGGTTATATGAAGATTAAATGCCGGTGACCTTCGTTCTCTCTCCTGAGGAAAGATTTTGTTTAAAAACAACACATATGATTATATGTAAACATTTATTTCCCACCTTTGCAAACATACTTGTACATTTAACAGTCAGATTCCTTTTCACATTCCAAATATATGGTATTTTCTCCTACTTTCACCATATTTGAAGGATTTTGGCTTTAGGTAAGCACAAAAATGGTGTTAGCTTCCAAGTGATTCCATGCACACACAGTTTCTGCAAAGTTAACAACACTCCTCAGATGCAGGAACCCTTGCGTGCTGGCCAAATAACTGACTGGAGCCCTAAAAAACTCTGCAGTTTTTTATGGTGGTTATAACATTATTTAACTATGGCTTTCTTTCCTGGAACAAAGAACAATTTAGGAAGAAGAAACTGCAGAAAAAAAATTTAAACTCCATTATGAAATAGTATTATCACTGACGATTTTCTCAATAAAATTAAAGCTGTGTGTCTGCTCCCTGTTTATTCTACAATTAACCTTTCTATTAGACCATGTAAAATCCCCAGTCCTATTCACTGCACAACCCAAGATAGTGGCATATGTCGAAAGGCAGCACTAGTCTACACTTATGACGTTCTTCGTGCCAAAACTAAAAATAATAAATTCCCATTTATCTAAAACTATAGTATTTCTAAAACTTATCCAGCCCATCTACCTGACTTTCTTGTGTTTCTTCAAAATACCAACCTATTATTTCTTCAGAAGGCAGAAATACAGTAAAACAATAAATAGGCAATTTTACTTAAATGAAATCTTAAAGTGCTTGTGAAAATGACTGGATTGAAGGCTCTGGGCAACCAAGACAGTCGGTCTTGCTCTGAATTCTCTATGGCCATGGGAACATGAGTGAGGAAAATCACATTTCCTCTCCATATTACAAGAGGAGGCACTGACAACAAGAGCTTCAGTTTCTGACAGTATAATGTAATGAAAGAGAGCTACCACAAATATTTTAGTTCCTATGACCATCCATGCATTGCCCAGTTTCCTAAATCACAAAATGAGGTGCGTTAATTGATATGGCAAGCAGGCTGCATCCATTCACTTAAGCAAGTTACAAAGCATGGCAACTCTTGTTCATTAACTAACTTAAACCTAATTTGAAATTACGGTGTAGAGGGGAAAAAAATCTCTGCACTCTATATATTTTTCTCCCTCATAGGCTCAATTTTAAATAATTTTTGCATTAACAGTCTAATTTTGAAATGGGCTTAAATGACCTAGCTGTTGTAATCCAAAACCAGAAGCTTAATTCTTGTCCAAATTCAGTTACCATTTTAGATTTTTTAAAAAAATTATTTTATTGCATTAAATTCAACTGAATTTGCTTGCATTAAATGATAGACAAATGGTTGTGTTTTCTACTCTAGCCTAATTTCATCTGAAATAATTTAATTGCTCTCAAAAAAATACTGTCATGATAACCAGAAGCATTCACTATTTTACTAAAGCATGCACATTGTCAGTCACATTTCTGTCTACATGCTTGCCTACTAAGGAAAAAAAAAATCTTTTCTTGCAATCACACAAAAATACTTCCATTGTTATTCTGTGAAACAAGTCCTTAAAGATTTGGCACATGACAAAACTCGACACATCACACTGAGCTATTTTTCATGTGGCTCTTCCATGTGAAGACATTAATGAAAGATGCATTGAAGAACTTTTTTTCTTTTCCCAAGAAAATCTTTTGGGTTTTACTTCTAAGAATACTTACATTTTAGGAAACATTTTCTAGTGTAACTGTCAACTCAAATGCTAAATTGTTCAGTATTTTACTTTACAGTTGCTTAATAAAGATATATATTAGAAAGCATTTTTTTCCCCAAACATCTACTGAAATTCTAATAACCTAAATTCATAATTTTGAATATAATGGGCTATGACATCAAAACATACTTGATAAAGGTTTAAAAAAATATTAAGAAATGTCAAAGACAAAAAGCAGAACATCCACATAACAGGAAGACATGACATTTTCATCTTTATCAGAGAAGTTACACATGCCAAGATTTTTGGTGAAACGTGCTGGGCGACGAAAACTATGGAGGAGTGACAATGACAGGTTTCTTGGAGGGTTTATTCTAAATGGTGTTAAGAATGCTGATGATCTTTGAAACTGAACAACGTGTTATCAGGCAATACAACCGTGTGACAACTGTGCATCACACATGAGTAGTTTAGTGTTATTAAACTCAACATGGGCCCCATTTAGGAGGTGATGAGAACCATTGCCTTCTACTGTAATCACATGCTACATGTTCAAATAATTTCACTGTTATTTCATTTATGCAAAGTATAGAATTTGTTTGCTATGGGCAACATACCACTTCCATGTACAGAAGTTGTACTTGCGCTTCACCACTTTAACTTTGACACTCTCAGAGGGTTTTTTTTCCTTTTTTCATTGACTAATGCCAATTATTTCCAGTCCATGACCATTTTATAGCATCAGAAAATGGATTTCAGGTAAGAGAAATTCTTTTAAGGCTGCTATCAAAACATGTTCTTTTCAGATCATTTTACTTCATATTAATGTTGTCAATCTTAAATCAATGTAATTAAAAACAATTACATATTGATGTGATGGACGTGTCAGATCTTTAGATTTCACTTCATGCAAGACGTGAGGAGGTGTGTTAATTTAAACAATGTCAACCAAGGCTGTAGTATACATACCAAGTGATTTTACATGCAGGAAAGGAGCAGTTATGGAAATGAAACAAATAAAAAAGGCAAAATACTGCAAAACAAAATATTTTATTAGATGAAAAACAAACTATATGCAATATATATTAGCTATATTACATCTTTATAAACATTAGTGAGCACTCTCTCCAAAACATATTAAGGCAGTGGTATCAATTGCATTACCCCAAAATACAACATTTAAAAAATAGATACCTAAGTGATTTCCCTTAAACATGCACCAGACATCAGTAAGCTTTACAGGAATTTCAGCTTGGGTTCAAACATAATTTCTGCTCCATTTGAGAGTTTGCAACAGAGAGAATCTCTTACTTCAAGCTCTAGCACTCTGAATTCTAACAGCTCATTCTGGTCTTTTGCATCTTGCATCTCATTCTTCAGCTGATGCTCTTCTTGCTCCATTCTGTAAATCTGTGAGACAAACACAACATCGTAACACCCCATAAGCAAGGGAAAAGGTACTGTAACAGAGTTATGGGCCAGGGGTTTAGACAAAACTGTTAATTATTCACTTTCTTATTAGAAGTTGGGCTGTGTCTTAGAGATGAAGAAGGAACATCACATCAGAAAGTATCTGTGAGAACTGCCAGCAGAAAATGATCAATGATTTCTTAGAATAGTAATCTGGAAGTAGTATGAAAAGTGATATGAATACTGCATCTAAATAAGTTAAGCAATACAAGCTTTCTTTTAAAATCAAGTGAATGAAACTGGATTACATTAACATTTGGGTAGACTGTTCTAATTGTCTTTGCATAACTAGACATCTACTCTTTATGGTATATGAAAGAGAATAATGGAGGGGTTTTAATGCTGACTTTTTAATTTTCCAGATTTGTGCTTCGGGGTGCTAACAATGACAGAAATTCAAAATTGACTATTCATTATGCCAACTAATAGCTTTGGTCTACTGTCTAGCTTAACTGGGTGATCTTTTTATTTACATGAATCTAAACAGAAGTGTAACATCTGGCATAATGTACTATAACACTTATAGTACCCATGTGTCTGAATAAATTAAGTCTGGCTGTAGCTACTTTTAGTCATGAATTTTTCTTTTGTTGTCTTATTCCTATTATTTTAATACTGAGCTACTAATTAACAAAAATAATTCTTTGACTTCCTGAGTACCAACTAACTTTCCCACCAATATCAGTGAAGAACAATGAGGATGCTCAGCTCTGAGCACCTCAGACAGTAAATGATACAGCAGTCTTAAATCAGTTAGTATTACTTAGTGTGTGGAAAAACTGTAAAAAACGGAAGGCTGAAGGAAGCAGGCAATTTTATTAGCGATCATGACAATAATAATCTTTGTGTAACTGTTTGGCAAAATACAAGACTCCACATTAAGCTTAATAATTTAGATTGTATTTTGTTGGACACTAGAAATATCAGCCAGCTTAGGTTCTACTGTTGGCTATACAGCATGTAATTCCACAATAAAGAGCAGCTTCCATTCCCAGAGTACAAAACCATATTTGTACTTTAATCAGAGACTTTTATCCAAATTTCTGTTTCTGGAGAGAAATAAAGTAAGCAATTTTCATGTTGATGTTCCAGTACTTAGTACATTCATTTCCTTTTACCATTCCTTTTATGATAGAGGGCAGCAATTGTGAAAATATTCCCAGATTCTGAACACGTACCTTCTCTAGCAACTCCTGATTTGTTCTGATTAACAGCTGCTTTTCTTCTACCCATTTTGAATCCTATGAGGAAGAGGAGGATTAAAATATTAAAATTATATATATTTCATTAATAACCACAATAATTAGAAGATTTCAGACATCACTGTACATTCAAGTATAAAAATGTTCACACCTCAAAAAATAAAGCTTTCATAAATATTTCAAGGATAAATAGCACTTTAAGCTACAGAGAAAATAAAAGTGTCTTTATTTTCCTGAAGCCAAGTCTCCTGTTTCCTAATATGTTCCAGCTAAGCAGATACTTTAAAAATAGCAATTTACATATAGCAATTGTGGGTGAACGCAGTTATATGATATTTTATGTCATTTTAAAAACATTTATTTACTCAGCTTAACTCAAAACTATTTCTTTCCATTGCAAAGAGTTGGGAACTTTCTTGTAAAGTCATCCCATTTTGAGAGGTGTAATGCAAACCGCAATGGAGAAAGGGAAATAAAACATTTAATTACCCCAAATGACTGAAAATAAGCTTCAGTAGGATGTAGTTAATTGCCCTTTGCTAAAAGTGTGAGAATCAGGCTAATAAACAGGGTTTGTGATAAGGAATTCAAGGCTATGGAGGAAGGGAAGTGATATAAGATATTCTATACTCCATTTGAAATCCATATTTCCATTTGATTACTTGTTCTAAAGCTGATCTCTGCTTTTAGGTTTTTCCATGACTTTAAAAGGCCTCATCAAATATCCCTTTAAAGACCCAAGTTACAAAAACTCACTGCCAGCCATAGCTGGACATTCAGATTTAATGGATTATAACAGTCAAATTCAGTCTGTTCTCCCTGTAGAGAAAAGTATTTACATAACCTAGCTCATACTGCTCTAATAAGTTTAATAAAACAATATCCAACACTTAATATGCCATACTAACTCTAGATCAAAATATTTTCTAGCTAAAAAGGACAACTGATTTAAAATCTAAATGTCTTGATTAAAGCATTAAGGCTGATACTTTCTTTGTCAGCAAGGTATTTGCACATTTATGCTGCATGAGAAATTAATGAAATCTGGATACCCCAGCCCATTAACTAGTCTTGAAAATTCAACCAAAAATATCTAAAACATTATGATATAATATTTACATTTTTTACAAAAAGTTTAAAGTTCATTTTTCTACCTACTATCCACTACATTTACACATTCTAGTGTTCTTTCTCCTTTTCCCATTCATATACAAGAATGCACAAGCGCATTTTAACTTTCACACAGCAAACAAGCTCTTCAGGGTTATGACATTAACAGCATCACACTAAGACTAATATAGTAAAATAAGTACTGAAGAGGCATGAAATTTGTCAAGAATTTTTGAAACACATGAAAAATGTTGAAAATAAAATCCAATGTCTAGTTTAACATCTAACTAGCATTTTACTAAGGTCAGGGAATGAACAAAGAGTTGCACTCACAGACTTAGGGTGGATATCCGAATGCATGCGTATGGTGAAAGGCAGGTTCAACAGTTACATCAGACCTGCAGGTTCAACTACTCCAGTTCACACAAGTAGGAAAAAATGGATTCATTTGCCCTATTGATAATTAACTTTTGTGTCTTTCTTGATGAAGTTAGTTCCATTCAACTTTCTGAGAAAATCTTAACTTCAGTGGGATTGTATTTATATACACACCAGGTCACTGAAAGAGCTGAGCATTCAAAAGAAAAAAAAAATCCATCTGGCACATAACATACTCTAATATTTTAGGGTTTATTATATACCACTATTAATAAGAATTTCTTCCCTTAACAGATTGTTTCTTATGCATGTACCTCAATGTACCTTGCAGAAATGGATTACTAGTCTTATTTTACATCTAGGGGAATTCTGACAGATTGAGCTGATAAGAGACTAACAAGAGCCATTGACACTTATTTTGAAGTTACACAAAATTGTTATAAGCCAAGCTTCAAATACTTCTTTTAACAATAAGTTTCTAATCTCCTGCTCTGAATTTGACTTGAGGAAAATTGTGAAGGTCTTTGCTGCTTCTGTTTCCTAAACCTGTAAGTAAGACTAAAAATTCCTGGGATAATGCACTAGGGTCTTTTGATTCACGATTTCCTTTTCAAAGGCACTTTAGGGACTGGTTTCCCAAATGAACATTTCACAAGTATTATTGTATCATCATCACTACCATGACCACCTACATGACAAAGTAATAATCATAATTTTAAAAAAAAATCACATAGTGCACAAAGAAGTCAGTTTATCATCACAACAATTTATTTTGTTGAATGTAAATACCAACAGGTCAGGAGAACTGAGCAAGTGCTAGAGCTCCCAGGAAGACACTGTCACCACTTCTGTGGAAAGCTAACGGTCAGCGTACAAACTAGCCCACTAGAGACAATATCATTGCTCCTTGTCACATCCCTGTTCGCTTTTTCAGGATTACTAAGAGATACAAGGTTGAAAATGTGGTTATGAATCTCATAAAGTAATATCTAATTAAATGCCAATTTCCAGGCATACCTTTTTGACGTACCATTCTGGAAGCAAAATCACAGAAGTAATTTCTTACATGGGTATCCATGTTCACTTATCTTATTTACATACACAGTACTTACATTTTACACTGTAATAGTCAGCTACTTTGTTAATGTTTTCAATTACACAGTAATTTGCCCACAACACCTTTATCATCAACACACTAAAATGTCAGCAGTAGATCCTCGAGAGGTCTTCAGTTCCATTTACTCTTCCAAAAGCTCAGTGAGCCATCATTTTTAGATTGATAACATATTCTCTATTTTAGTAATATTTTATTTACATGGAATTTACTAAGCAAATTGCAGTTTGTATGGAAGCTAGCATAAACATTTTTTATCGTGAATTTGAATATGGTCCCAAAACCTTTGTATTTATCAGAATCTTACCGAGTTTTTTCCTACAAAGAATAAACCATAAAAATACTAATATCATTAACTTGGCATTATTTGTAGGTTGCTTTTATTCAATGCTACAGGATCATTAGTCTTTGAAATGCATATCTGTAGGTAGCTATATCTTATTACCATACACTACCTGCAATTTTAAAATTGTTTTTTCAAACAATAAAGCGTAAAATAACATCTCCCCCATTTTCTCACTGTGTTCCAGCAGTTAGCAACTGAACATCTTTTAAATGCACTCTCATAACTCTTAATCAGCCCTCAGATCCTAGACATTATTAAATATGCATCAGTAGCCACATCTTCGTCAAGCATTTACAAGATATACTGAAGCATAAGGCCCAATTTTACTGTGTGTGATGGTATGGGAATTTGAAAGCAGTTGAGTCCTCCAAGAACTTAAGCCCAGGAGAGTAACACTGCAAGTGACTTCCAGTAACCAGACACATGAAGTGGTTCATTTCTCTAGCTGAAGCATGTGTGGAAGTGATTTGTTTTTTGACTTTTTCTACGCTACACACCAAAAATATTATCCAGTACAAATATAAAGTATTTATTTTATTGGAATTTATAGCAAATATAAACAAAGTGGAAAACAGGAGAAAAGCCTGCACCAGATGACAATGGGACGGAATTTACAATGCATGTACACGCAGTTATTTCAATATTATGCTTTAATGTATTATGTGTTAGAAAATTAATCTTTAGTGGCATTTTCTTAGCCTATATAATACTTTCCTTTATTTCAGCAATCTATTGCAAGAGTAGTAATTAAGCTGCACCAGTCACACTAACACACCAGCAAGCAATGAAGATGGCAAGGGCACCACTGCATGCAAGGGAGAAAATTATGTGGTAGAGGACATTAAGAGAGCCTTTTACCTGTCCTTTCTCAATTAGAGCTTTCTCCAGGTCCTCAATTTTTGCCTGACACCTAAGAAGATCAGCTTGCAGTTGTTCACGAGTCTGGGGAAAAAAGTATTAAAAAGTGTGTATATGTGCATGAACATCTAGGTAGACAGATCTAATTACACACAGAATCAAAGTAAAGATACTTTCTACCCACTTATGGGCTATACAGTCAGCTTTTAATGCTTTTCATTAAAATAATTGCTTTTGTGTTTATGTTTCAAAATATTTAAAGCCTTCAGTTTAACAGCATTTTTCCTTCCTAGCCTAAAAACATGTTATCATCACATATTCAATGACAAAGCTTTTCCCGGGGCGGGGATGGGGCGAGGGGGGCAGAAGTTAGGAACTGAAAGAGCTCTGAGAAGCTATTCATAACATTTAGTAATTCAAAGTAATTGGGAAAAAAGGGTCAAGACAGAAAGAGAATTGCAATAAGCACTGAAAAAGGCCTATAGGTAAATAAAATATATTGACCCATAATAATTTATATATCCCATAAACAGCACATCCCAGTCAGTTTTCCTCATTCTACATGATTATTACACTAACTATTACACTACAGCAGGTATTACCCCAAGTCCAGTGAAGCCCTAAAATGGACTGGATCATACATGGTACTAAACTAAAAGGATATAAACCAAAGGATATCTCTGGAGACCTTCAGTCACTGAGGCTCCTTGAGCTAGTGCAAGTACTTTTCCCACCCTACTTCAGGTACTCTTTACCCAAGCAGTTCAAAAATTCTCACGGGGATTTCCTTCTGCATCTTTGCATCTTTGGGTCCTTGTTCTTCACCTTAAGCCTCATCTAAAAGTAATAAGAAATGTTCACCCCACCAGAACACTGGGCCCTACAAAACTAACCAAGCAAAAAGCTACCCTCTGACTCACTCCAAAGATGGATTTGCATGGATGTGACAAAAGAAACCAAAATGCCATTAAAAAGAAAGAGCAACAATTCCAAAGTGTACTAAAGGGACAGTTTGCAAATGCCTGCAAAATAAAATTTTAAAAAGCTATTACAAAAATACTCATACCAGGGTCTCCCTTCCCATGAAGGCAAAGGAAATATGTAATGGTCTCTCATAACTGTCAAATAGATGAAAGCCTCTGAAATCTTACTTTAATAGTAGCTGTAATTATGCTCCCCGCCCCAATTCTAGCTTGAGAATTGATCTCCAAAGCCCTTATTGCCTTCCTTGGCTAAGTGTCCTTCTTAAAAAGAGAGTGTCAAATGTGACTAGGCTTTTGTAAGATGCTGAGAACTCTAACAAATAAAGCCACAAAGCAGTAATTCTACTATTATAAGAACTGTATTTCACAGAAGAAAGAAGTTAAGGTTGGTTGAGAGCCACTTCAAAGAATCTTGGAAAAAAAAAGAAACAAACCAAAACATGACACATCTTAAAATAAACCCTGAATCTTCTAAATATTGGCTCTGGGGACAATAGACTAGCATTTTTGCTGTAAATAACTCCAGATAATGTCAAGCAGTCTACATTCTTCTGTAACTTTTATCTGGAAACCTTTGCATATTAACACACAAATTCTGCTCCCACAAGCATATTGTTTCTATACCTGAGAATATTCAGTAAGTGGATTTTAAAATGCTTGCCAGAGAAAATGACGTGGATGAAATAGTGCATATGTATGCCTAATAACCATCAGCAATCTAGCAATATAGAATGTTGTGAATATTTTATTAATTGTTCTAAGCAGTGGAACCATTAAGCTAGTGGCAGTTCCTACCTTTGGGATAAACTGAGTCCATCCCTACCACCAATTTTTAAACCACATTAAAATCTTTGTCTTTCTGCATTATTAGCAACATGTTGCAGCAGCACAATACAATGAAGGCCACATGTAGCAACGCAGTAATATGTAATAATTCACAATATTTAACATGTTCTCCGTTTTGCGGGCTCA